TTTTAATCAAAATAAACTTTCTGTTAAATAGTCATAGATTACTTCACGAAATATGAATGTATTCAGCCCTTTTATCTTTTTACCTTGAGAAGGTTAGTTTCTAATTTAATCAGTTATTTGAGAATGAGGATAAGACTGATAATATGAAGAAAATTGCGTCGGTGGCACAGCGGTAGAGTGCTCACTAAGCCAGTAGTAAGACTGGTAAAGAGGGAAGGTCGGGAATGAGGCTAGCAACCCCATACTGCAAAAATGATCACCACTGCTACCGAGACTTCAAGCCTCTAGCTTGAATTCCTCTGTTCCACTGGGAACGTAAAGGAATGAAAAGAAATGAAGCAAAAGTAATATGCGAAAACATTTTTCCTAAAAATGTCCGCACACAAATACGAAACCTTATCCCAAGATTTCCCGGCTACTACTTGGCAGTGTATTGCACGAATAATAGTAGCATTTCTGCCTTTTATAAAAACGCATGGTTAACTTGTTTGTATGATGATTACGTTTGGAAAAGATGACGGCAGTTATGGACAAGTCGAAAAGTGATTGTACCATTTTCACTATCGAAGTGACACAAACTTTGAGTTTTTTCGAAAGTTATTACCACACGGATTCCATTCTGCATAGGTCTGAATGCGAAGGTGGCACGGGTGAGGATGTCAATGCTAGTTAGGTTCAAACTGGTCTAGACAAACCTTCATTAATCTGAAAACAGTATGGTAATCTACTGCACTAAGCATCAGGAACAAGATTCAGATTTCAAACACTAATGTCAAGTCAGCACTTCTTCACAAAAGTATATCCAACAAGCTACAGACTATCACCAATATCTGTATTCACCTCATAGTGAAGATAATATAGCCGGCCAGATAAGATAAGCAACAAGAATCTCTGTCAGGCAGCAAAAAATCCCACAACCTTTTACTTGACAAATATACCGAATGAAATGGAGAAGGATTGAGCGTACATTAAGCAGACAGTTGTGTGATATCACGTGCTAGGTCTTCGAGAGGAGCCTGAATGGGAAACAATGAGTTGGGTGTGGTCTGTAGGTATCCCATGGAGAAGATGGTGTGATGAGGAAATTCGTGGAGCCAGCTAAAACATACTGAAGAGAACAGGATGAAATGTAAATATGCTGCTGAGGCACTGTTTTCCACTGGGAACCGAACGGGATTGTAATATTAATATGCCCATATTCTCTCAGTCTGAATTATTATTATTGTTTCCTTTAGTTCCTAGAGGAACATATGGCTTCGGCCGCACGTCTCTATTTCGTTCAATTGTCTGCCAACGTTTTCACCTGGCTCCACGTCTTCCCACATGCTTTCGTCTCCTCTTCGTATGACCTCCTCCATGTCACCCTGTCACTGATGACCAATTGCCGCTTCCCATTCCGGTTCCACTCGAGTGATGGCCTAGCATGTGATGACATCCACTTGATAGTTTGTTTTCTCAGGGTATGGCCAATCCATCTCCATCTCTTCCTGCATATTTGTTGCACAATTGGTTCCTGCTGGGTTGGTTCGCTCCCAGAGATCCCTCACTATTGCTGATCTTTTCCGGCCGGCCATCTGATCTTGAATAATGAGGGAAGACATCTGTTGATGAAGGTCTGTAGTTTGCCCGAAGTAGCCTTCGTGACGCGACAAGTCTCTGATCCGTAGAGTGAGTAGCACTGACTTCACATTGAAGTTGAAAATCCGGATCTTATTTTTCATACTGAGTGCTGCTGATCTCCACATAGACTTGAGAGAAATGAAAGATCGCCTCGCTTTGATATCCTCATCAATTCCATCAGCCTGTGGTTGAAACAATGACTCCCAGGGAGGGAGGTAAAGGAGGTTGCTTCTTTCAGGTTCCTCCTATTTATACTGATTGTTGTCTGTCGTTATTGCTGTAAATGTTGGCCAGGAATCTTCATTACCTACCTTTGTTTTCTCTATGTTCACCTTAAGGCATATCTTCTCTGGATGATTCTTCTGCCAACTTGTTGCTTTTGACTTGAATATCTTCCAGTTTGTGAGAAATCAGACATATATCATCGGTGAACTTCAGATCTTCCAATTTTCTCGTGTGGGTCCATTTTATTCCTGTCTCCTCGTTGCCTGCCTTCGGTCACATTATCCGGTCTACCGGAATCAGGAAGATCATTGGAGATAGTTGGCAGCCTTCCTTGCGTAACTACCGTCTTCACTTCGAAGGATTCCATGAGTTTGCCTCTGTGGATTACTTGGTATACAGTATTGTCGTACAACTGTTTGATGAGGTGTATAATTGTCGGTGGCACCCCGTAGTAGTGAAGTAGTTTCCAAATCACTCAGTCTGAATAATATTACATATTTCGACGAAAATGAGATTCTTCATTTCCTGAGAAATATATATATCTTTTGAAATATTACTAGTAGAGTACATCCTATAAATCTTTTCTGAGCTTTCTCAACCCCCCTCTTTCTTTAATGAACTCACTTTTTTATTGTTTCAATGAAAACCTATTAATCAACATACATAAGTATATATATATATACATATGCTACTTATATGTAATTTATCAAAAATGAACTTGTTACATATCTCTTCACTTGAATGAATCAAATTTACTTAGATAAATTAAATAATAAGAAAAAGGTTATAGTGGCATATGGATTGATGACACTATTGTTTAGTAAACAGTATCACTGACGACTATTCATGCTTACTGATTGCTTAAAAATGTTACAGTTGAATAATTATCAACAGTGAATTTGTGATGAATCTTTCTCCATCCCCCCTCCTTCGCGTCGTAATAAATCATTCACGGTAAATAATAATTTATAAACAATATATATACACATATGTAATTAAAGTACTACTTATATACTACTGATAAGTGTGAAATCACTTAAAGTATGTGTAATCAACACTTCTGTCAACAATGACAGTGACACTGAGAAACGTAAGATTAGAAAATACATGTATGATACGTTTAATGTCGGAATTCTGTGACTATTTCGGTGAATGGAATATTGACGCGACAGAAGTTGTTTTCATGCTGTGTTTGAGTACAGTGTTTACAGTTCAAAACAGCTCTGGAAAAAAACTTTGTTATGCTAGTGAACTTTCCCAATTAAAGTTATGATTTTACGCATCAACCTCTCTGATATTTCTGGTAAAACTAATTACATCAGTTTTGACGTTGTTCTATGTGCTGATTTGTTGAGAAATATGACTGAAAATGACTTCTAGGCTGATGGTGAAGGCTGTGCTAACGAGATCTTAGCCTCATAGAATAAAAAAGATAATATAAGCATTCATAAATGTCGACCTTTGAACTCTTTCAACAGAGACAAACTCTAATATGTGACACAGAGTTTAACAAGCAGAGTTTAAACTCCATCTCCCCGATTCATTTGCTGAAGTTTCACAAATCCTATTAATATATATGTGTAAAACTTGGGCACTTTGGTGGTAAGTGATTCCATATCAGTTTGTTTATTAGATGTATGTATGTATCACACAATGAAACAGCATTATTACATACTGGATGACGTTTCGAACAAAATTTATTACTGTTCATAATCATATCGCCAATTATAATCACACGACTTCGAAACTTGAGTTTTATAGTTTTCTTTGTTCTCTCCTACTTGTCTTTGTTGGGGTAGTAGAATTTTCCAAATATCTGGGTGGACAGGTGTTGAATCATTCCTATTACACGTGTTGATTCGCAGTTGATTCGATAAACAAAGCTTCCGTAATCAATCTCTCGCTCAACCCTGTGACATTAGATTTTAAAACTGTCATCTCATCTTATCCATCCTATTGTATGGTTGTGAATAATTGCATGTAGTGAGTGGTGCAGCTGAACTATTCTCTAAATTTCTTATCTTATTCGAGTCAACTAATCTAGATTTTGCTATGTTTCTATGCTCCACTAGTCTGACTTTCCCTGTTTTACTACTTTGACCTATGTATTTGACCTGACAATCATTCCAGCAGGGTATTTGATAAACTAGATTGTTTTGTTTTAAAGGCTCCACAGAATCCTTTAACTGACAAAGCTTGTTTCTAATTGAGTTTGTAGGTCTGAATGCCAGCCACCATTATTCCTGCCTTCTTAAGGATTCTGTGTAAGGTTTCCGAGGTTCCTTCTTTGTATGGAAGTACTACTGATGATTTAGATTCCTTATTGTTAGTGTTGTCTTGCGCATGTTTGACATGCATGTCGTCATTAATATTACTGTTATTATTATTGTCATTATTGTTATCACTATCACTATTTATTTTATTATTTACATTTCCCTACATACTTTCTGATTAATTTATCAGCGTAATTATTAAGTTTCAAAGCTTCTCTTATATGCCTCACTTCCTGTCTGAGATTTTAGTTTTCACAAATCCTATGATATTTATATAAGGTTCCCAAAAGAACAAGTATGAGTGTGTTGATTGATAGTCACACAACCAAGATAAAATATGAACTATTATTCAACATGACCTTTGTCTACTGTCAGTCGGAGATTATTTTCTGGTATATACTACTGCCAATTGATATGAGTAGTTAAAGTCCAGTAATGTATGCCTCCCAGACTGACATGATCTAAACACCGGGCTGCCATTTCGACTGTTCAGAGACGAGATTATCAGCAGCGTAAGAGGAGTGACTAAATTCAGAGCGCTAAATCAATTCAAACAACTCCAAGTCGTTATTTATACGTTCATTCAGACTAGAGTAGTGATTGATGCAGTGCTGATTATAAGGGGAAACATGATTTTTCGCAGAAATACCTTTCAAGGCGCCCTACTCGCTAATGTCAAACTACTGTGATATACAGCGATCATTAGACACACTAAACATCTGACCAACAGATTTCACGAATTACATCTGTGCATGTAAAGGATTTTTAAGAGTAATAGGATTTCCAAGCTTGAGAACATAGTTATCACAACAAAACTGAGCTCTTAATTTGACCTAAAACAAGTCTTTTTTTCTTCATTTTTTCGCCTTCCTTTCTGTCTAGGTCATTCAGGTGTCAACCAGTTGGGTGGAATGTTTGTCAATGGTCGGCCTTTACCAGATACAACACGTCAACGAATAATTGAATTAGCTCATTCAGGTGCACGTCCATGTGATATTTCACGTATTCTACAAGTATCTAACGGTTGTGTATCAAAGATACTATGTCGATATTATGAGACTGGATCGATTAGACCAAAAGCAATCGGTGGTAGTAAGCCACGTGTAGCAACAAGTGCTGTTGTAACAAAAATTGATATTTATAAACGTGAATGTCCATCAATATTTGCTTGGGAAATACGCGATCGATTATTACAAGAGGGTGTTTGTACACCGGATAATATACCTAGTGTAAGTTTATGTTTAGATATGCTTATAATCGTGAAAATTGATTATGGCTGGGAAGATTTCATTCTGAGATAATTCAGATATTCCCTAAATTTAGAGAAAAGCCAGTTCATGTGCAGAAGGTGACCTCAACTTGGACAGTGGTTACGTAAACTAGTCCTTTGATCTTGTGAACCTTGTTTTTGCAGATCTCTAAAGTTGTCCATCAAAAATACATTTTCGGTACATCTTAACTAACGGAGAGAAGCGTTATTTAACCTGATATTTTCAAAAGAATTGTTCGACGACTTCATACTAGGCACATATAAAAGTCATATTTTCAGAAATTTCAGCAGGACTGAAACAACTCATTCCAACAATTTTAGTCGGAACTTCTTCAGAAGAATGATCCTTAAAATGTTTACAAACATCCTTACTTAATACCTTATTATATTTCATTAAACACATTACACTAGTTACTGACTAATGTCCAATCAAAGTATCCAATACAGTCCTACAGGAGGTCAATCATGAGCGCGAATAGCTCAGTGGTAACGTCTCTGACTGCGGCACTGTGTGATGCGGGTTCGAATCTCAGAAGGGATATGAGTTCCTACAAGGTTGCAGATATGCTTTGCTGACTAGAAAGTGCCAACTAGCATAAAACCTAGGTCAAGCTGGGGTTCCTGCCGATTGCCTCCACCATCTAATACTTCATTTGCATTTCACACCATTGGTTAAGGTAACTGTGTTGATAGTGAAACGTTCTCCAGTGAAAATTCATGATTTAATAAAACTTTCTTTATTTGAATTCATTATTTATGCAGACGAAATCATGTTAATAACCTAAGCAGATTAATTTCAAATGTGCGGGGAGTAGATGAAGTGCAGAAAGGAGACTGGAGACAAACTTTTTAAGAAAATACTGGTAAATGCCTTCACTACATTCACTAATTTACTTACTATAATGACAGTAATAGTAATACCTTTATTCTGGGAATTATGCTTACACACAGCACATGATTTTCAGTTGATATATAACGATAAAACTTGAGCACTGAGGTAAAATCACACAGTTTTATACAGTAATAGTTGCTGATGACCACCTTTCGAGCACAATTTATTGCTACTCATAATCATATCAAGGTACTCACATAATCTTCTTGCTTCATTTACATACATGAGTAAAAATTGATGATTAGACATTTGAATAAAATCAATATAAGATAAAGTACATTCAGAAATAATATTAGTGTTATCAATAAAGTACAATCAGATGGGAAATAAGATGTTTTCTACAGTGAAAATAAGTAACTTGTTAGAATGTTATAACGTGAATTGAATGCACTTTAACATTATTTATTATCCTCTGATTTGACTGGTGGTAATAATATCTTCCATATCTCTGGTATTTGTGTTGAGTCACTTTTATTGCAAGTGTTAGGTTTGGACTGGATGATCCAGAATTCGGTAATCGATCTCTTTCTCCACCTACCTATATTACTGTTTAGAATTTCGACTCTGTCTCACACTACTGTGTGGTTGTGTATTAATGCTTGCAGTATGATTGCTGAGTTTCTTTCTAAACTACTTAAATTCGTGGGGTCAACCATTCTAACTTTAACTGAATTCTTATGTTCTGATAATCGCACTTCTCCTGACCTACTAATGTAGTTGACCTAACTCACAGTCATTGCAAGATATAATTCCTTCCAAAATATTTACTCTCCATATTAAATCTTTAATTAAAATGTTCATCGACAGTATATTGTATATCTCAAAGTTGTTCCTTCAGCAACAAGGCTTAATCCCCTGAGACATTTTTCCTTTATTTTCTTCTTGAATTACACAGTGATAGATTATTATTATAAAATTGCTATCATTCCCTTGGGTTCCGAATGGAACATACGGCTTCAACAACACATCTCCACTCCGTTCTATTTTCTGCTGCCCTCTCTTCAGCTGAATCCACGATTGCCCACAATTTGTCATCCAAATCTCACCACACGATCTCCTCTATGTCACTCTAGGACGACCCACTCGTCGCTTCCCACTGGAGTTACGCTCAAGTGATGGCCTGCGTTGTGCACGACGTCATTCGACGGCCTCCTCAATGTATGCCCGGTCCATCTCAATTTTCTCCTACATATTTGTTGAGCAATAGGCTCTCGTCTGTGGGTTTGTTCCCAGCCAGAGTTTCTTGTTACTAATTGTTTCTGGTTGGCTAGCGATTTGATCTTCAGTAGGCAGCTGTTTATGAAAGTCTGCAGCCTGTTGGAATTCCTTTTCGTTACACGCAGTGCAAGTTTCTGATCCGTATAGAAGGACCGACTTCACATTAGTTTTGAAAATCCGAATCTTGTTCTTTGTGCTGCCTGAGTGACAGCAGAAGATTTCCAAACCAGTTTCAGGTTGATGAAGGCGTATCTTGCCTTTCTGATTCTGACTGGTTTTGACACTTTCATCCGTTCCGCCTGCCTGTGGTTGAAATAATGCTTCCCAGATAAGTGAAGGAGGCAACCTCTGGTAAATCTCTCCCGCTGATAGTGATTGGTGCTGGTTGGTGTTGTTGCTATTGATTGGTTATCTTCATCACCTCCGTCTTCTATTGGAGTCCTGTTTTCGCTGCCTCTTCAGCCAGTTTGGTGGTTTTCGCCTGTAAGTCTTCGAGTTTGTGTGACATTAGTCATATATCGTCTGCGAAATCCATATCTTTTAGAGTCTCCTCCTGACTGATCGCTCCCCACAATCTGACGCATAATAGGTTGAAAGTCAAGTAAAAATTTCCATGAGTTCATTCATATCATTGAAAGATTTAAATAACAAGAAACGGAGAAAAGTGAATGCATTATGCTGAATACAAACTTAAGTAGCCCATTGAATTAAGTAAGCTACCCTCCTTAATTCTGCTCAGCTGTTTTACCACATTGCCACTATTTTGTTCTTCACTCAAACAGATGAATATTAGAAACACACACAAAGGCATTCATTCAGTCTTTCTGAATTTATTAATGACAGAATACTAATTTCATGAAACAGATCAATAAACAGTTTTCAAATTTGTGGCATTAATTACAATACTCGTCCATCTGTCAAAATTCTATATAGGCTCTAAGTTTGTGATGTTTGTAAAACACAGTCATTGATATCAGTCTCTGTATGCACTACTTGTATAATTATCATCTGGAGATATTCCAGAAGAATACGCAAGCTTAGATTTTGTTCTTACTGACACTCCTCAACTAAGCACATAACACTGGTTACTCCTTGCTGACAAATATATTGTAAATTTTTTAAACATACTGCAGTATTCTTTTAAGAAGTTCCCACATGGTGCCAGTTTATGATTCAAAAAGAAACAAAATTTGACTCGTTTTTAAATGTTATTATTGGTAAATCTGACTGACATTCAGATTATAGGATTTGAGTGAATTTTCATCACGACCCAATATCAGTTAGAGAGAGATTACTCAAAACCAGAGCTGACTGAATAGCTGTTTCCCCCCCACTCTTGGACTCCTCAACGGTAAACACCCATGACCCAATATCCAGGGATCGAACACGGGACCTTCAGGTTACAAGACCAAGCTCTTTAACCATTTGATCATATCTGCTACTTTACATTCCCCGACGAAAATCTAACAGTAGAAATCCGATTGACCTGGAGTTCTGAGCTTTCTGGCTTCTAGTGATATATCATAAAAAGTAACATTTTTAATCAGTTTTATCCGTAGGACAAATGATCATATATGGCAATCGATAATGATTATATCGTATTACAAAGTAATAGAATCCAGAAAAAAGGTATGGGCCTACGGCTCAATGAACAAGGATTCTGTAATCAACCTCTCTCTCCACCTACCCAGATTACTTCTTAGAATTTTAACCCTCTCCCACCATGCTATTGTGGGGTTGTGTGTTGATGCATGCAGTTCTATTGCTGAGGTTTTTGAAAAATTACTTATCTTCTCTGGGTCAACCATTCTTACCTTGACTAAATTCTTATGTTCCGACAATCTGACTACCCCCCGACCTACTAGTTCGACCTATGTAGTTGACCTCACAGTCATTGCAAGGTATTTTGTAAATTGTATTATTTTATCTAATTGGGTCAACAGGGCCCTTTAACCTACAGAGCTTGTCCCTGAGTGAGTTTGTAGGTTTGAATGCTACCCGAATTCCTGCTTTATTAAGAATCCTACCACGTAGGGTCTCAGATATCCCCTCCTTATATGGTATAACCGTAGATGACTTATATTCTCTCTTATTTATGTTATTATTACTAGTTTCACAATTCTTTTTATTTTTCTTTTGGCCTTTTTCAATCTTCCTAATGAATTTTAGAGGATAGTTATTTAAAACCAACGCCTCTTCTATCTGTTTTATTTCATCATTTAGGTCTTTTCTTGTAACACTTAGTGCTACTGCTCGGTTTGTTAGACGCCTAACTAAACCTGCCTTAACAGTTAACGGATGAGATGAATGCGTTGGCTTTTTATAAACGTTAGTGTGCAGTTTACCTTCTCCTATTCGTTTTATTTTAATCTAACATAGCTAATTTTCTTTGTTCATTTTCCGATTCAAATGTGAATTTTATTCCCTCTACTAATGAGTTTATATGTGTCAGGAAGCTTGAGATATGCTCTGTTATTAACACTGTTATAGTATCATCCATATATCTCCACTATATTTCTGCAGTGGGGTTAAATGTATTTAGAGCAATATTTTCCCAGCTGTCCTACTAGGAAGTATGGGCCTACGACCGGTGGTAGTTCAATGATAGAATTCCCACCTGCTAAATGGTACATCCGGGTTCGATTCCCCAACGACTTAATCCGAAGCCGATATTAAACTGGTCAAATAGGAAAGCTTGGGTGTGAGGCTAGTAACCCCACCCTATGAGAAAAGTAATACAATCGCTAATGAAACTTCATGGATGAAGCCCTATATTTGACTCAAAACATCACCAATCAAAGCGTGTCGATTGTAATTCACTGACTAGCTGTTAACTTGCCGTCTGTAAA